ATAAATTTCTGGCGGGAAAATTACTCATTGAACAGTTGAGTTATTTTTAAAAAATACGGCCAAACGGGAATAGTTTATTTCTTTTTATGCAAAATTTACGATGATTTTCGACATTAGGCACATAAAGTAGGTGTGAAGGGACAGCAGTTGGCCTAATCCAATTATTGTGCAAAAACGTATGATCGCACCGGCTCGCCTGGTGCGTTTCAGCCTGGGTTTATAATCCCAGGCCTGTGTATGCTGCACATCTGAAAACCCTTGCTGCGGATGACTGGCGTAAAACCAACATCCTAGCGCCATTTCCACTCACTTTTAGCTTCAGCTTCGCTTTTAAATTAATATAACAGTTTCTGAACGCAGCGTTCCCATTTATTAGAAATCTGCGTTCTCGTGATTTGCAGTCACCGTATTTGGCTTAACTGATTATCATGGGAAAGCACTGTTGTTTTCTGCACGTGTTGACATAATAATTCACCATGCATTTGCAATGTACAAAACACGCATCCCTTATTTGCTACTTCTCAGCTGCTCCTTACATTTTTATATGCAAAAAATAAGATACGATTGTGCGCTTTTAAAAGGCAAGGTAAAAACGTTCGGCATTCATTTATACGTGTAATTCAACTGAACCAAGCTGCACAATGATTTCGTGTCTTTGCTTGGCATCGATTCTTCGTTGTCTGGGCGTTCAAGTTAGGAGCTTGTTATTGATTTCGGGGCAGTATATGAGGCGCACTAAGAAAGTGATGCTTCTTCAGGTTGCGCATCCGGAAACGGTCACTGAGAACGATCGCGAACAAGCTTCAAGCTGTCCACCGCAGCTTGCTGTACAACCATTTCCTCTTTCAGCATTTGGAAATGAGAGGTGCTGTTGCTTTATGGACTGACCTCATCTTTTTGGAATAGTAGGAAAATTTTTATAAATTGGAAGCTGCTGATGCCGCATGAAATGCTGCTTGGCATGAATAACAGTTAGAAAATGCTCGAATGAAAATGCGTATTTGCTGCGTCTGAAAGAGCTAGAGTGTTATGAAAGCAGATAGTGATGCTTGTTTAAACATCGAATTTTTCGATCATTCAAAAAGTTCGCATTTGACCTTCAAATGGCGTTTAAAAGTCTCCTGGAGTGCGTTTTTTCAGAACGGCACATAATGTAGACCGCAACAGTTCGCCGTCACCACCTAAGGATCCTTATCCAACGACAGATGAACATAATTCTAAAAGCATGTCAAAGTCGGAAGATGAGATCAGCAAACCATCAGTCACAGTCAAAAGAGTGGAAAAGCAGCAGCAGCGGAAAGAGCTAGTAACAGGCGGCGATGATGGCAAGGATAGTGTGGAGGGTGATTTGGTAGCACCGGATGTGCTGGATGGTGCGAAATTTACCAGAGCGGATCAGATTTCCATAAGGCCCGACACTATGCGGGCTGCGAAGAGAAGGTAACCACTCGCTTGTTACTTTAGAGCCTTCAGCATTAAGGAACCCAAAAGAAATATGTTTTTCTTCTGCCTCCTCTGCAGAAATGAATTGCACTAAATATTCGAAAGTGTTAAGATGCACAAAGGGCAAAACTCAGGTAACTGTCCAACAAATATAAAAGTTGACGATAAAAGAATTGCTGAGGGATTTCCTCAAGAAGGAAGTTAATTTTTCTAGATCCTGGGCACTTTTGGATAATTCGCCATCTGACGAAACTGAATACATCAGGAGAATTTTACTTGATGAACAAAAAAAGGGCCGCACTCATCTGCTTGTTGGATATGACATTGGCAACCTTTTCCCCGCTTCCAATAAGGTTGGCGCTTTCTTATTATATAAATTTAAATATAATATGCCTCGAGCATTTTGCTTGAAAGCCTCTTTCACCATTTTTAGCGTACTGGACGCCCAGGATGCTTTCAGTTTACATTCCGAGCGATATTCGCGAGGAAACGATTGACGGTTTTTTTAGTGAATGGTTTGCTCGTAGAAAGAGCTGTTTTGTCCGGAATACAAAATTGTGCCTTCGTTCCTGTTAACAACCTGCCGAATGGCCTTGAGCTAAACGACTTTCAGAATTCTAAGTTTTGAATTTTATGATTTTTAAAGATTACCTTTTTAAAAAACTGGCCTTTTCACTGTTTTTTATGGATGGAAATTGTTTTAAATCGATGAGTGATTTCAGTATTGGAAACTTCAAAAATCATACTTTTAAAAATATTTGAAGTAGTCTCTGTTTCATTTTACATCTCATTAATACAACTCAGCGTTCTAGGGTGTGACCTCGCTTTGTAAAGCAGAATGTGTCCGGGAAGGCGTGGATGCAGCAGAAGATACTGACTCGACCCCGACAGAATATCCATATGAACTGCTTGGAAAAGATATTCATTATAATGAAGTGCCGGCCAAAACTGAGCAGCAGCTGGGCGAGCCCGTGAGTGCTGAAGATGATGCCTCAGAGGAAAAAATGGAAGTTACTGGGGATACGGTGGCTGAAACGTCTGTTGTGGCAGGGCCCCTGAAGCCGGCTCCGACAAAGGTAGCTGTTCTCAATGGTTAACAGGCAGTTTGTAAAAATGATTTACTAAAGACTGAACTCACTTTTTTGCTCCGGCGATAAATTTTTTTTCCTGTGGTCTGAAAAGTTTAGCATGCAGAATCAAAAGAAAAACTGAATGCCGTCGGAAATTCAGTGTCCAATTACTAAAAGTCATTAGCAGAAAACTTGAAATCAGTACGATTACGGTAGCTGGACTCGGATTTTACAGAATAACCACTTTTGGCTACACTTACAAAGCAGTTGAAAAGCAGAACATTTGCTGAAAGAACAGCTGGTACTTCCTTTATTGCTGTACTAGTTTATTAAAAAGTAGATTTCATATTTTTATTTATTTATATATATATATGTTTCATATTTAAAAATATTTGAAGCAGTCTTTATTTCATTTTACATCTCATTTAACAACTCAGCGTTCTAGGGTGTGACCTCGCTTTGTAAAACCAAATTTGTCCGGGAAGGCGTGGAAGCAGCAGAGGATACTGACTCGACCCCAACAGAATATCCATATGAATTGCTTGGAAAAGATATTCATTATAATGAAGTGCCGGCCAAGACTGAGCAGCAGCTGGGTGAGCCCGTGAGTGCGAAAGGTTTGATGTGCTTTTTATGGTTTTAATGTGCATTTTCAGGGGATTCTTCGGTCGTCTGGTGCAAAAAATTGCCAAAAAACGGTACTATTCGATCCTTTAGCACTTTTACTGGATGCAGCACTGGAAGGCGAAGTTGATTTGGTGAAAGCAAGTGCATCTAAGGTATTGCTATGTTTACATCCTGTTTGGTTTATTTTATTCGGCTGACTGGCTACTGCTGTTGGACGCAGATTTATCACAACTTCGAGACCCTTAAATGAAGTGAGGTCGTAAAAAAGCACGTAAATTCTTGCGTCCCCAAGTACGCCATCATCGCAATATATCTTGATCTGACACTGCGCAGATGGTGTAAATAGAAGGGTTTTGCAACAGCAACAACAACAACGGCAGCAGCAAAAAAACAAGAGTAACAGCAGCAGCAAGCAACGACAATGGTAGCAGCGGGAGGCCTTGCCGAATTACTAGAAAGTAAGTTGCCATTCGTAAATGCGCTGTTTTTTGCAGCTGTCGGATATATCAGCTTGCAATGATGAAGGTATTACCGCACTGCATAATGCAATCTGCGCAGGTCATTATGAAATCGTGCGCTATTTGGTGGATTCGGGTGCCAATGTCAACGCTCAGGTGAGTTTTCTTCATTTCTGAAAAAGCTGTTTTTCATTTTGTCATATTCCGAAAAAAGATTTCGCTGCGCTAACAAATTTACCTAGTATTTTCACACATTTTGTATGAAATGTCACTGAAGTGTGGAATTGTTATCAATTTGTACGTGGTTTTAGTATCACACATTTGCACAGTGCAATTTGTGGCATGTTTCGCATTGCACTTGACTGCGCTTCAGAGCTGTTGGAACTTATCGTTGGTTTTGGCAGTAGCATTTAAAAAAGCAAATAAAAAAAGGAATTCCACGCTCCTGTCTGAAATCAGTAATATTGCTGTAGGATTCGGATGGATGGACGCCGCTCCACTGCGCCGCATCGTGCAACAATTTACCGATGGTAAAACTTCTTGTGGAAAACGGAGCGTGTATATTTGCCCAGACGTTGTCGGATCTGGAAACACCGGCTGAGAAGTGTGAAGAGGATGAGGATGGTTATGAGGGCTGCCAGCTCTATCTAAAGGCTGCAGATCAGGGTGCTGGGAGCGTTAATAGCGGATACGTAAGTTTTTTTTTATGGGTGCTTTTTCAGTGTTTTTTCCAGAACCACAGTATTATTTCCAGAGCAAAAGCTGCTAGAAAGGAGGAAAAATGCAGCTGCAAAAAAGGTTGCGAAATTCCCAGAATTTAACGGAAAATATTTATTTTGAATTCCAAACTCGTGGACTTTAGAGAATTCCAAAATTTTGATTTGCTTATCAATATAAGTGTATTTCTGGCATAATTATTTCCCGAGTAAGAATTTGCAAGGGAGGAGGGGACGTCATTAATCCTCTCCTAACTGTGGAATCAGCCAAGACTTTTCCGTTTTTGATTGTGGGCTTTCTTTTGTTAACTATCACGTTTTCCAAAAATTCGGTGCTGTGCCAAACTGTGCTTCAGATTGGGCTGTTTTTAAATGCTGTGTCGATTTCAGATGTATGCAGCTTACGATTATGACAAAGAGCAGGAGGATGAGCTGAGCTTTCGAGCTGGCGATCGCTTGCTTGTTTTGGAACGAAATTGCTGTTATAAAGCCTGGTGGCTGTGCCAGACTACTCTCGAAAATAACACTGAAAAAGGGCTGGCACCATCAAATTACCTCTCACTCTATCCCAGCGTATCGAAGCGAAGCGCTGACTTCAGAATGTTTGATATACCGCAAGTACCAAAGCTGCGTGCTGAAAAAGTTGAGGGACGAGTGAACTGCTCAACAGCGACTGATGAGAAAATCAGTGCTTTCCCGGTTGCTTCTGAAGATCTGGTTTCCTGAGTATGCATTGTAATTAGAAGGTTTCAAATTAAAAATTTGAGGTTCTGTGTCGCCGTTTACGATATCTTCTTTTTTCAAATAGTTGATCATCAAGGGTCGTGCGGAAAGTGCCGTTACACTTACGATCTGCGCGTATATGATCTGTGTTATCTTCCTTTTTACAGTGCTACATATATTAAAAATTTGCAGCTTTTTAATCAGATGCAGATTTTTCAGATTTTCCAAGCACACATGTAACCTCCAAAAACAGATCTTAAAAAAATATTTTTTAGTTATAAAAAGTGCTTTTTAGAGCAGAAGTTTTAAAAACACTTCATCGGTTCCCTCAACTCTATCATAAAAAGTTAAAAAATGCCTAATCACGTACCGGTCATTGATTTTTACTCCTGTTTTCATAACTTTCGGAAGAGTCGGCTCTGATTCTCTCTTAAAAAAATATTTTAAAACGAAGACATCTGTTTGTTTCAGTTGCTTTGTTTGGTTTTCAAAATTCAAATTAATCCCTGTATTTTAAGTTCTTGGATATAACTTCGACTATTTTAAATCGCACTGCAAGCTGTTTTTTGTTTAATCATGGTGAATACTTTGTGCTTCCATTTCAAGAACTGCATTTTTCAAAACCTCTCCTGTTTTCCCTTCGAGCTTTTGAGATAATGCAGCTGTAAATAAAATGTTTTACAACTGCTTTTTTGCTTCAAAATTTCCATGTGCGGTAAAATTTTAGCGGCAAAAATGGAATTTATTGGGCTTCCGCAATTTTGGACCGTAGATTTCAAAGTTTATAAATTTTTGAATTTAAAAGTAGGAGATTCAAGTCCCCAAATTTAATTTATCGACATTTAACTATCATGTCTGTATATACAAAACTGTACTTGTGTATTGTTTGAAAATCTTTTGATGAAAAGCTTCTGGTCCGATTTTGCTTCAAATCACAGGAGCAGCTGTATTTGTGTCCACGAAAAAGTATACGTCTGAAGAGCTCTGCACCAAGTCTGCGTATGCATCGTCTTTGTGAGAATAGCTTAATTCACGGGAGGTTTCACTGTCCTACAAGGAATGGTATATTCTGGATAATGAAGCAAACAGTTAGAGGTTATTAACAAATCAGTATAATCCGGTGTTAGGGAATCAAAAATTTTGGTGTTGTCAAAGGTGGAACAGCCAGAAAGCAGCTGTATTATAGCAACTTCTGCATACTACTGATCTTAATTGAAGAATATTCCCTGTACTGATGGCATAAAAGCATATTTCGCCTAAGGCATTCGATTGCTAAGATCCGTTGCTCCTTGCTTCTTTCAGCATAGCATTAGCTGTGCAAGTAAATGTAGCATCGAAAGTAAATCAAATTTGTTTCATCTGTGATGGAGCGAGAAATCACCATCCACTGCTTTGCCTCCTTGACCACCGCTTCTCCATACCCTTGTTTCCTCTCATTTCATTAACTTAAATCACCAGGATGCTAAGCTCCTGCTTGGCCCTAACTCATTTCTGCGTAACCTTCCTGAAACAAAGCAGAATCCAGTAACGAAGTCATTGCATCTGCTCTGTCCAAATCGTCGCGCTGCTTGTTGAGCGAGGCGAGCGATTTGCATCCTTTGCTTATTCTTTGACATTTTGCTACACGTTTCATTACAGGAATTAGGCATTTTTAGTGACAAACGTGATCATTTTGTTGCGTCTTTAGGTCATTGCAGCTGGACGGATGATAAGTGAATTTCTTCTGGTGGTGGATGCATTCTACCAGTTCTTTTGGAAGGAAATATAGCCGCACATTTTTGTGGCACTGACCAGTATCTTATTTTCGGTTATTGACAGTATCGTTTTTGGGATTTTAGTATCGAATGTAGTTATCATGGTACATGAAAACTTCTCATTTCCATTAGAAGGAACAAATAAGGTGCCTGCCCTTCTTTGCATTTACTGAAGCCGTGAAAGGTGTGGAGATGGTATGGGAAGATAGAAGGGACTAGGTTTTCCCGAAGAAGCTCTGGAACTGTTTGTGGCACAGCTTCTCTCTCCCCTAGCCCTCCTCCGCCCAGTCGTCGTTCTTTCTCACTGTCCTTGCGTTCTCACTATCATGCGGGTTATTCATCTTTTCGGTTAAGGCTTTTCGTAATAACAGTTCGTTTCTGGGCACAGTGTTTGTTATTAAGTGCGAGTGCTTAGGGAGAGTAGCGATTGTTCGAATTTTTCAACATATCGAAATGTTGGTTTTAAATAGCAAATTTTACTCCAGGTTCGCGCGTCTTCTTACTGATACTTTGGTTTTTCAGACATGCCACCTTTTCCTTCCCAGAAGATCTTGCGATGCGCCACGCTTTTATAATAGATTGGGCAATCAACATTTTGGCCGTATGCGGGTTTGCTGTCTCCCCGCTTTCTCTTTCGCAGATCCTGAGAAACACTAGCATGGGAAAATTTTGATAACGTTTTAATTTCCAAAAATCCTACAGATGCTGCTGATGAAAGCACGGTTCGCTCTGGATGCCTTGGGCAGTGATTTACGGAAAAACCCAGACTGGAACGCACCAGGCTTGCCAGTGCGATCATGCGTTTTTGCACTAAACTCGCAGATTGCTAATAGCAGGAATGATCCCTTTGCATAGCCTAACACTTGGGCTCAAATCGGCCGTGCTTTGACCTCTTCCGGCATGCAGGAGAATGAGCGTCGGTTGGGATGAAGATGTTGCATTATCGAGTCGCATGGACCTGCAGGTACATGATTACCAGTCTTTTGTATGAAGCCCGGTCGTTTTTTATGCGTTTTTGCTGTGCAGCGCTATAGCGCTGCTACAGCCAGCAAAAACGCAT